TATGGGGTGATTATGACGACGCTTGCTTCAGCTCCCTTATGATTTGATGCTCCGTCTACGCGCAACTACCACATATCTTTGGCCAGGTCTGGATCGACGAAGGAGGTGTCGTCTACTCTCAAACTTTACTTGCTTCTCATTGTTAAGAGTTATTTAATTATGTTTATTTAAGTTTTTAATTAACTAATGCTCACCTCGTAACATAGAGACCAAGTCAAGCTAGAGTCCTAGCATGTAGGGGATGTGGTTGAGTCTGCTCACCACAATCACAATTTGCTTCCGTTGTTTAGAGTTGTTATCTCCACAAAATCTGCACCAATTGTGTTAGTGGTTATAGTGGAGTTAGAGTTTGTTTTTTCTTTGCTTCTATTTAAGATGTAAACTTGTTTTGTTTTAATATAAGTGAATCTTCAGCTTTCAATATACATAGCATCCTTTACATTTTTGGTTTAAGTTACCAACATCTGGTATTAGAGCTATTCTTGGGCCTGATAAAGAAACACTCGAGTAAAGAGTGAAGGAGAGAGTCTTGCAGCAGCAAGAAACTATGGCAACTAAAAAAGTCACTGAGAGTTTTGTTCAACCTGCAATTCCACGGTTTGATGGTCATTATGATCACTGGAGTATGCTGATGGAGAACTTCCTTGTCTGCCGTGCAAATCCCATGGCCTGGAGTTCTGGGCCGAGGGGATGTGCATTAACACGCGGTTTCCTGCTTCTGGGTGCGGTGCGGTTTGTGCGCAGGCGTGCCAGCACGGTCTATCATGCGTCGATGTGTTGATGAGTGTTGGATGGATGAGTGGTGCGCCTATTTGAACTCGTCTTCCTAATCAAACGATTGTAGCCGAGAGAGGAACTGGTCTCGGCTGTTAGGTTCACGGCCTGAACTACAAGGCCGTTGAGTGATGGTGTTGGTGGTGGGTTTTGGGCGGTGCTCCGGCGCGCTGCTCAGGGAGCGACGGTCGTATGATATATGGGGTGAGTGAACGAACAACAAGGATGGTGCTCCGGCGCCTTGAAAATCAAGGGTCGTATGATATATTAATGAATGGATTTTCCTTACA